AGAAATATGAAGACAAAGTACAAGTCTTAGCACACACATAGCTCTACACTAAGGTATTCACATAATGACATTGATAACAAGAGACCCAATTTTTTAGGATGAACAAAATGCGGCAGACTCAGATCTAAAGGATGGTCAGGTACATGTACTGCACACATTCTCCAAGAGTTCTTGCTCAAACCAATGTTTAAAACAACATCACTAATTCCAAATTTTCCAGGACAAAACAATGATTTTCCATGGTGATGGTTGATGCAAATGTCGTGAAGGAAAATCTCCTAATTCTTGATTGCTGGCAGAAGGTGTTAGCTAAGGACAGCTGGGTCTTAATGTGCTCAGAAATGAGAAGTGCAAAATGCATCTTTTGGGGCTACAATGTGGCATTTTACAATGGCTTTCCATTAATTTGGAAAGCCTAAGCATCATATCTTGTTTTCGTTGCATTTTGATTTTCTAGGACAACTAATATTTTGGTTTCACATGGTATCTCATAAACTCATTAAACCAGTAAAAAAAGGATGGTTTTCCCAACATACATGTTCAACTAAAACCTCTTGCTCCTCCTAGCTGACGGACTCAAAAGTGCAGGTAGAAAACTTGGAAGGCCAGCTGAAGGAAACTAAGGAACAGTACACTGGTCTGGAGAAGAAATACCACAAGGCCAAGAAGCTCATAAAAGAATACCATGCAAGGTACAGGTTCATATCTTAACATTTCTAATATGAGGAAAAATATAGCCTTTACTTTTATTCTTCTGGTGATATGCTTTACACAAGTTAACATTATGGGACACAGGACTGCAAGTTTATTTTGTACAATGTTTCTGTAAATTTGGTAGGACCAGAAGACACGAACAGCTAGAAATATGTTTGGTACCTTATTATAAATGTATCAGGCATAAGACTGAAGCCTTGATGTAAGTTAAAACATTCCTGGTGGTTGACAACTGTCTTTATCATGCCTTGTTGACAGCTGTCGATCTCACATCGTCATTTGAGATGTACTATATTGCATGGCAACACTTTGGGTTGGCAAGTAAGCACCCAAAAATGAGATCCACTACCGAGGTGTCGGCAAAAAAAACTTGTCACGAGAAAAGATTTGGTTGACAGCTGCCAATTGCAATTCCACCCCTCTAGTAACCTCTCTCTTTTCTGTCTCTTCTTCTGTATTCGTGCGTATTCCTCTTCAGTCATGTCTCGTCTCCCCACCCTAAAGTGTTGCTACCAGCCAAAACATTGAGTTGCCCACCGCTCAACCCCCAGAACCCCCCTAAAGCCTCCCAAACCGTTAGTGCCATGAACCCTGTAGACATGCCAGAGCCCAAGGACAATTTTTCCAACTTTCTTACCGCTATGCTGCACAGGTACACATTTGCTCACTGTCATTTCACAGTAGAATTTTGTGTGCTTCCACCAATGTTGCTTCTGTCTTGCCATGATACCTTATGCTACATTTCTCAATGTTTCTAACTTCTTGCAAGAGTATAGCCATGAGTTTATTTTAGTGACCTCAGAGGACTTTTTGTAGACAGCAGATGTTGAAAGAAATGTAGTGCAAAGGACCATTCTATTGCAAAGTTCAAGGGGTGATCAGGAAAACTTCTTTCCCTTTTAGTTTGTCTTGTCCAATTTTTATTTGACGTTTATTGCTTGAGTTGTATTGTTGTACGCTTTTGTGTAATAAAAACATTTCCTGAATGCTCTCTGTTGAAGTTTTAGAATGGAAGAGCCTTAGGTTTGCTTCTGTGTCTGCTGGCATGTTTCTTTATATTTCGTTCTGCTGTCTTGCTTTCCTATCCTTTGCTGCTTTTCATTTCTTTGAAACCACACACAACCATGCACCCCCATTTCAAAGTCAGTTGGACCTTACCTTGTCTGAAATTCATGACAAACTGGACCACTAGACTCTAAAATAGGGGTGTAACAAAAGACTGTGGTGGAGAGAAGCTGATTTTAGTTGCTGCTTTTAGTTTTCATTTACCTGTCTCCTTTTTTCTGCTGTGTCATGTCTCTGCCCCCCTCCCCACCCCTCAGCCAAATGAGGGTATTGGACAACACATACCTCGAACTACAAAAGACCTACCACAAGGTCCAGAAGCTCATGAAAGAACATAAGGCTAGGTATGTTCCACCTAGAGGGTCAGCCGTGTTGTCTTCTCACAGAAAAACCTGACCAGGCTGTTTGAAAAAGTCTGCCTGTTACCAGTAACACTTTGGGTTTCTAGCTGGATGCTTCTGTAGTCTTGATTTCTACACTGTTTGACCTGTTTTCTGACCGAAAAAGTGAAAATCTTTCTTGCTTTGACAGACAAAAAATACATCACACTAGAAATGCCGAGATTACATGTATCTTTGAGCAAAAAAATACAAGGATACATGCAGTTGAATCAAATTGTCATATTTCATACAAATGTATGATTCTTGTCTCAGGATGAGTTTTCAACATGTGAACATCATTCAGCATGTAAACTAATTTGACTACTCCTTGTCTATATCTTGGCTTTCAAGGCTCCAGAATCTATTATTTTTTAGACAGGTGACAGGTCAATAATTGTAAAAATCATGACTCAGGCTACGTAATGATGATAAAAAGTCCCAAAGACAAAAGAGCAAACTGCCTGTGTCTGGTTCCACTGCACCATACCCACCCACTGTCCCACTCCTAACCCTCACCATCACACAATTACAAGGCTCACTGCAATGTACCTAGCAGCATGTCCTTTAATACTGGTAATAACACCTAGAAAACTTTTGAGTAAATGGTTGACTTAACACACCTGAAGTGTTGGCATGTGACAGGTAAAAATCTGCTATGTCTGTGGTAGACTTAATCTGTGTTAAAGAAACAGTTAAAAATCTTGAAATCCTAAAGTGTGTCTTAATTCTGTTCTCTAAAGTGTGAAACAGTTAAGACTGACAAGCTGAATTTGTTACGTACATGTAGTAGCTTGATATGAATTCGCATTTTAACAAGTTATGGTGATGTAACTTTGAAAATAGAATAATGATGATGAATGAAATCAACCCTCAGCATTGAAGTTGCCTACTTAAAAACTGCCTGCTTGTTTATTGTATTAATCATTTCTAGAATAAATGTCTGACTCAATGGTTTAGTGTTGTGATGACTACTAAACGTTCCACTATACATGTAAACTGGTGATACCAGATTTGACTCACTGTACTGTACATCTTAACCTGCAGAGAACTAGAGTTGATTAAGAGGGAAGAAGAGACTTTGAGACAGATGGAAGAAAAGGACAGACAACACAAGAGAGAAGTTAACATGCTCAAGCAACAGGTATGAGCTTTCGACCTATTGTTCATGTTTATGTTTACCTTCCATGGTATATAACTGGTGCTGTAGCAGACACCCATGGTATTGGAATACATTATGTAGCAAGTTATAGGGGCTGATCCCCATATACATGAATGAGTTAAAGAATAATCAGAGCAGTAGTTTGTTAGGCTTTACTTTACAAATGTTTCTAGTTTTGTAAAATTTGTTGAAAATGTAACCTGGTTACCATGAGTTGGTGGGCTACTTTTGAACATTTTCAAGCTGTTCAGGCAATATTTGTGGAAAAGGAACAGGCAAATAATTTTTTTACCAGGTGGTGTTGCCTATAGTAGAACTATAATGAAGCTGTAGTCCATATTTTTAAGTGAAAGGGTCAGATAACAGTATGGCACTGTTCAGGTCATGCCATATATGCATGTGTCAGGAAGTCCTACAGCTGCAGCAGTATTGCATGTGATTAATACTGACAGCTGTGACAATGTATCATCATCAGTCAGTCGACAAATTTGGACATTTCGGGAGTATCACGGTCTTATGATGAACATGAATGAAATTGTCTCATTTATCACTATGAAAACATCCATAAGGAATTGGTTGTGGTATACGTAATTGCCCTTAAATTGTGGTCAAGTTGCACACTTTTGCAAATGACAGAAAAAACCCAGGCAGTTTTCTAGCATGTAACTCAGCTGTTGACTTCGTTTTGTTCCAGTATGAAATATTGCAGACACAGAAGAAGGTTAGACCAACATGTATTGTTTCAGGGTGATGCAAGGTGGAGCTACTACAACACTACTACTAACCCTCACCAGGCTAACCCTCCCTACTGCACTGACATGTATACCATGTACCTTTAACCCTTGGTCAACCATGGACTCATACAAGCTTCCAAAATTTTCCTAAAATATGTGGAAGAAAAGTTATGTCTTTGCATTAAATATGCTTCGTTTTTAAGAATAAAAATTGAAAATATTGACGTCCCTTTGTTTACCAAGGTTTAATGTACATGTACATGTATACAGAAAAGCATGATTCTAATGGACAAAGACATACATGAAAAAACATTGAGTTGAATCCTTCTGTTAATTTTATGTTACCCTCTATGTAACGACTTATGATTTCTGCAGATTCAATCATTGCAGTCAGAGCTTGACGAGGCTCACAAATTAGCAGCTACAGCTGTTAACGAGCTAGGGGAGGCACCAGATGATGCAGGTATGTCACCAAGCTCATTATAAATTATCTCGCATTTCTGAATGGATCATATGTCTTAGAGACATAGTTAGGGAATGTATGTAAGAAATAGTATACCATACTTAATACCTGTCACATTGGGTATTGTGCTACAGTGCATGCATGCATTGCTATAGGATGCTGCCTGTATGTGAGTTACATGTAGTATGGTTGTACAATGTATGTCTAGTAAGCACATTGCATGCTTACGCATGTGGTAACACTGTGCAACTGAACATAGAGGGGTAACCTAGAACTGCATGATTGTGCAGCAGCCTTGTTTTTGTTTTGTTTTGTTGTGTCATGCTGATTTCACTATCTTTTATTTACATTGTACGTTACAAGTTTTTGTTGATGTAGCTCACAGTTGTATATTTTCCTAACTCACAAACCGGCCTTATTGTTGAGACTATGATTGACATTGTCGCTGAGAACACACTGTTGCATTCCCCGCACGCCAGCCGGTGGGGAGGGCGTGGTGTTGCTACAGAAACGGGGCTTCTCATTTGAGGAGGTTCTCGCAATGGGCGACATGCCAGAAACAGCCCTGGGGGCTTCACCCCAACACTCACCCCACGCAAAGGACCAAGGTGTTCACTTTTTGGCTTGCTATGTGTCTGTGTCCAACTTTGACTGTCTCTGGCACAACCACTTTTTTTCCTTCCAAAAAAAAATTGATCTCCAAAGAGTGACACTCCCTCTTTTTGTCCCCTGAAGTTTTGGTTGGTAGTTTTTGTTTTGCTGTTTTCTGAGGCTCTGAATTCTGATGGTGGTTGTCCTGATACATGTAGGTGGTGGGTGCTGTGAGACTCTTTTATTCTGGTGGTTTCTGAGGGTTGATAAGCTTTTACTAGTCTGATAGTCTTCTAGCTTGTCTATCCTTCGTTTGGCCCACTGGTGCAACTTTCTTTTGTCATTTTTCAACTGTGTATTATGTAACACGTCAATATGCACATGTTCTAGAAGTAGATGGCCTATAACCACTTGTTTCTGGTGCTACATAACATTTGGTAACTTCATTTCCATACTTGTTAGAAATTTCAGTTGCATGATATCATTTGTTTTGTCTATCCCTAGTAACATTACATAATAGTTACATCAAATCCATCCTTTGTTTTATTGCTCATTTCATATTACCATCATATTAATTAGATCTTCTTACTATTCCATTAACCAACACATTGCTTAATACATGTACATGTGTTGTTTTTGTTTTGTTGCATTCATACAATGCTGTAGTGAGATAACATTAGATAGACTTAATAATGAATACCATATAACTTGCACTGTGTTATTAGTTGCTGTTTGTGCAAATGTTGGTAGATTTGCAGTGTACATTTGATATTGTCAAGGATTTATAATATACGCATGTAGAAGTTGCGTTTTGCAAAGCAACAAGTCCAAGTGGAATTAACTTCCGATTATAGTCAAATTTCAGAGTCAATATGATGCTTAAACACAGAATAGAACTGTTATAACTAAAGATCGCTGATTTGAGTTGTTGCTACACAGCTTAGTACAAAATTTGTAGTGGTCCCATACAAAGTAATGGGCAAAAAATATTAAAGATTGTACCTTAGTGATGTAAAATTTCAAAATGTTAATTATGAGAACTGTCCTAAAATAAAATGGTAATGGTAATGGTAGGATTGGTAGTAGTAATCATTAAGATGTGACTACTAACAGTCGGTGGAACGTTGATGTTGTTCAGGGCTGGATGATATCTCGGATGATGAGTCCTCTACACAGGAAGGCAGCTACACTTTCAGCACAGGTGAGACTCTAACTTCTCAGAAATACTCATTATGTTTTAGTCTTGTTTTCAAGGAAAATATAACAGGTAACTGTTGAATGTGGTTTGTGCTTCTGGCATTGCAGTATTGGCTTTTTGCATTCACAAAACTCCTGACACTGAAGGATTGAGTTTTTATTATTTTGTGAAGAAACTATAATTTGCATTTGTTTAAAAAAAATCAATCAGGTATACTCTCAGGTATTGAGGAGGAAGACACATTTTGTAGCTTATGTAGATAGTAGATGTGGCAAACCTTGTTAAAAGAATAATGTTTAAGGAAATTTTAACTAGCCATTCAAAGTACTATTATATATGTGTAATTAATTTGGATGGCAAGTTAATTTACGTTTGTTGTACATGCAATAATTCGTATTTTGATAAACATTTCAAGTCTAATCTCAACTGTAACATAAGTATTTTGGACTAATCTAACATTCCTGAAAATCTAATCTACCTTAAAAGTTTATAAATCCAAAAACCCTCAAGTCTAAAACTTTCATTATGGTAACGATAATCATATTCAAACATTGGCATATACTTAGTATGAAAAAGGGCTGTTTCAAAATGAAATTATTTCCAAAAGTTCAGTATGATAAAGGCTATTGGCACAAAGTTGTCAAAGCCATATTCAAAGCAATTCTCTTAGTTTGCCAGTAATAAGTTGTAGAATGTAGGTTAGTCATCTAAGTGGGTTTTTAATGCCTATATAAACTGCAAGTGAAGATATCCTACCTACTGGATATACTGACTTGCACTGACTCTTTCAGCACATTCACACTCTTTCTGTCTCACCCCGTCTTCCTTTCTTTAAAAACTCTTCTTTCTTTCTCTCTTTCTGTTTCTTTCCCTCTATCATCCTCCCAACCTGTTTCGCACACTTCCATTGGCTAGGACTGAAACTGCAAGTGTGTCCGGTCGAGATCCGTATAGTCGGGCACACGCCTGACTGGTGTAGCGATCATATTCGCTACGTGCAGTCTTTCTCCAAATGCACGTGGAAAACCTTCCAAACGCCCATTCGTAAGCGCCACCATTTCCTATCTTTTAGTTTTGCTTCAGGGTCAGGATTTGTTTTTTTCCTTTTTTTTTGTTTGTGCAACCTTTCGTTTGTGTGATTTTGTCTAATTCCTGTCTGCTTTGTGCTCATTTGTCTTTCCACTAATTTCTCTGTTCTGACAGTCTGTTCAATGCATCTGGTTTGAAAAAATAAACATTTAACTTAGGTACTTGACTATTATGTATAATGATCTACCAGCATAACTGACTTAACATGACAATCATAACTTAAAACACAAATATGTTCAAACTTTTGTTGGTAAATATTAAAAGAAATCAATTTATTTTCTTCCATCCCTACCTTCCTCAATAAATTTGATACCACGCTATCTCTTCATTTTATTAAACAAAAACGTTGACAAGAACATCATTGCTTGTAAAGCATGACTTGTGCATTTTACTCAATGTAACTTAATTGAATAACTATTTAAATACATGTAATAAAACATAAGTTCATGTAACAGGTCCAACATTCATTTAATTCTTCATTGTGGTAACAATAATTATTGTAATGACAATGAATTGAAAAAGACAAAACAAAACAGGAATTTCAAACTACAAACACTTATTATAATAAGAATCCCCTTTCTTTGTCTACAAAGAGGAGATGGTTAGAAATTGTCAAACGCTTCACAATGCAGAATCTCAAAATCACACTGAAAAGTTGGGTGTGTTTCTTGGTGTGTTTGTCAGATGCCCCCCTCCCCACTAACCAGCCCCTCCTGGCTTTCTGTCCCATGATTCCATCTTCCTTCCTGCAGTGTCTCCTTCAGTTGTGTTTTTTTCTTTTCTTTGTTTATTTGTTTCATTGTCGCAGGTGGCATAATGCATCTGCTAGAAAGGCACCTGTTGTATTAATACAAGTATTTTGTTGCTGTTTAATTGTTGCATTAGCTTTTGTCTCCAAAAGTGAAACAAAATGTATGAAGCTGCTGCTTCACACATTTAGGAGACCCTTTTGATGGCAAAAATGCACCTGTTTGTGTGTTACTCAAATTAACAGAGAACATTTCATCAAAAGTGACTGCCCCAAAAATTTGTTCGCACAACTTCAAAAAAGAAATTTTCCTTGACAGTTATACTGAGTGTTAAATCTGGGTACAAATTTGGAACTGCCCCAAAGTAGTCAAGCTTGTCTCATAATGTAAACATGTAACGTTACATGTAAGCAGGTCTGACTGACTCAGTGCAACTGAAATTTGACATGGAAATATGAAACAGTACTGTGAATAGAACAAAATGGAGGCTTGTTACAGTTTGGGTAATATTCCTTGTCACACTGCTTGTATGAGCTGCTTTTAATTTGTTGCTAGAAAGGCTGTGTAATAATTTCCATGTTGTACATGCATAATAAGTCTTTATGTTATTGATCTAATGTGATGCTGCTACATTTTGTGTTTAGTGTTGCTGGCTGTGTGCTGCAGTATGTTATGTATTACTCATTATGATAGTTTAAGAATAAGATATGAAACTATCTGTACAGCACAACTATGCATGACTTTAGCTTTGCTGGGATTTTTTAAAGCTTTATCTTTAAATGTATTGTTTACGAATCATCATGGTCATTGAATTTTCTGTCTTAGGCCACACCAAGTAAATTTTATGGATGACGTCCTTTGGAGACCCTAAATCTAATGCGAGAGGGCGAAAAAAAAACAAGAAGAGCCCTAAAAAACAAGATGCCTAGATTAGAAAGAGACGACAAATGTTAGGACACAAATTGAATGAGGTGACACAGATTAACAAGCAAGAAGTCTTTTATTCATCATCAAAACAGCAATAAATCAGGTGGAACAGCAGTTGTCGTCCTGTCCTGTTTCCTTCATCACATTTTTACAGGCCTGCAGAAAAAAAGCATGTGCTCTTTACCCATTTCGCGTTACGGGGTTCAAGTCAATCTGTCGTGACTCTTTGGTCATAGTTTCAGGAAGCGGAATTTCTTGTTTTTTTTTCTAGGAACAGGCCAAAATCAATGCGCGCGCGGACGTCATCCATAAAATTTACTTGGTGTGGCCTTATATGAAGACTTGCTGTGGTTACATGAACATGTATTTGCACAGTATCATAACTAATTTAAACATCCTTTGTAGATGGTAGATATCTACAATGTAAATGTATAGTTACATACATGTAGGGCTACAAACTAGATACTGAGCACATATAAAATGGAGGAAAAAGTACAAAATTCAATAATCTGGGCTGCCAAAAGAGCTTCAGCATGGCTCAAATGGATATTGTAATAACTTGTAATAACTTGAAAGGAAAAAAATTATCAGGCATACATGCATAACATAACATAGTGTAATATGTAAGAATACATATATCTAATTTTAATCATCTGCTCTGTAAAATGCAGCATTCGGCATTCATGTTGAACTTGAGTTGAGACTTCTTTAAGTTACTAAAGACTAAAAGTCTATGTCTATAAACAGTTTGCTTCATGCCTCAATAACACAGTCTAGTTGAATGCAAATGGACATCTGGCTGTAGATAATGTGGCATGTTAATAAAATGTAGATTTGATAATTGGAATTGCTTTGACCCTTTAGGCCATGTTGATTTGATTATATGGATGACATCCTCCGGAAGCCCCAAAACTGATGCGCGCGTGCGAATAAAAAAAATGTTTTGCAAAAAAAAAAAGTTCTTTTCATTATGAAATCTACGTGGTCATGAGGGTTGAGCAAATGGCACAGAATATGGTTTGGCGAATAATCTAGTCTTCAAGTTCATTTCTTTACAATTTCGTCTTTTTTCGTTTGATTTTGGCATTCTACGACATTGGTATAGTTTTTGTTAATTTTTTTTGTAACTTACGGTATATTTTTGCTCATTTTGCAACTGTTTTGTATGATTTACAGTATGGTTGAAAACTTTTTTTTTTTGGAAACGGCCGAAAATTCATGCGCGCGCGGATGTCATCCATATAATCAAATCAACATGGCCTTACAAAGATAGTGATAATATGTCATGTACAGTCAATTTGACTGATCCACATTTAAAGTGTCTTTTTAAAGTATTGTACAGATTTTCAAAAATGTATCATTCAATGTTAACAATGTTCTTGTTACTTTCTGCAGATGACAAGGGAGTAACAACTCCTGAAGATGTGGTAACACCAGATGAGTTCATAGAGACACCTCCTGTAAGTCAAGACAAAAATTGCGTCTAATTTTCTGTAAAAAGTCCAAACTTGTAGTTACTTCTTGCACCTATAGTTATACTTGTTGATAATTTGTTGCTCATATGTCTCCTATAGTTGCAGTCATTCCTAGAATACAAGCACTGTTAATATTACTTGAATGTATAAGTCTTTTAATTTACTGCTAGAATATTGTGACATTATGCACTATGATCCACAATGGTCCACAATTTAAACAGTGATCCTACCTAGAGTACTAACTTTGTTGTTGGTGTGAAATGCTTTTATTTGTACAAATAAACCATATATTCGTTCATGTATCACATGTTTTGTTTATGTATACCTGTGGATACTTGTGTTACTTATGGCTAACAACCCGTTGTTACTTATGTTAAATTTTGATTTAAGTTTATTTCCTCTGTTATATTGATGATTTTACTGTAACTTTGCTGGGCCCCATTGAAAATCAATTTGACTTGCAAATTGAATGGGCTACTCAGCTGTCTGAAGATCAAATAAATAAAAAAAAATCAACATTGATTGATTGAATTTTACCATGATTTTCTTTAGGAAGAAGAAAGGAACCTGTTTGATGATGTAATCCCCCCCACCACCCTGTTGGACACGTCTAAAGAGAAGTCGAGAGCGACGGTGACACAAGGAGCCCTGTCCAAACGGAGACAGCCCAGCAGACAGAAACTTCGCTCACAGAGCAGTGAGGACCTGGACGAAGCTTTGCCAGAGGTAGGATGGCAAATCCTCTGATGATTAGATAAAAAGATACATCTTAATAAAGGCATCCAAGGAATTTCAGAGCAGCAGAACAAAAAAATGCTTACTCACTCCCTCATTCACTCTCACGCACTCAGTCACTCACTCACTCACACTCCCGTACACTCTCACTCGCTCACTCCCTCAAAAAATATTCTAGATGAGGAAATCTGGCTGATCTTGACATTTACTGCCATTTCTTAGCACATATTTATCCTCATTTCATACTTGGAAAATCCGATTTTGCCACCCAGAATCGATTGCATTGGATGCCTTTAAGCAAGTATTTTTATAAATTAGAGCAAATTTTGGTAAAGAATTTGTGCAATGAAGCATGTTTGTAGCATGACTAACTGCAGTACTCTTCCTTTCTGCTAGGAGGAGCCAGAGCTCACCCCAGAAGAGCAGCCCATGCATCTGCAGGCAGCTGTTCCAGTGTCCTTCGCTGTTCCACCTTCCCGGTCACCTCCCCCTGATGCCCAGGTCTCGCAGGACATGTGGAAACCCAGAGGTAGCATTTTAGCCTTCGTCAGAGTGCCTTAAACAGAACCCTCAGCTCAAATCACTAATGCCACTATTTAAGGTCAAGAGTTAAGAAGTAATTTGAACTAAGTCTATTCATGGCTTGCTCTAGGCTTCTTGGAAGCCAGTGTTTAGTAGTTAAGTGCGGTGTTAAGTCAGCTCACGTACATTTTTCAAACACAGTTGGCCTTTCACAGAATGTCAACAGATCCACAGCTACTGTAGAAGTGGAAATAACTCCAACAGGCACACTGCTGCATGTAAATCCCAACAAAATCCTCTGAATAGATGAGCTAACATACAGTTTTACCATGCTGCAATAATTGTCACACCGTTTAGTCATGCTAATGTATTTGTGTTGTATGACTGTATCTATAGACCCTATATACTATATGTACAGTCAGTTAATTCCTATGTGCCGGCTCAGTCCATGTTGTGTGGTGTGGGGGTGGGTGGAGGAATGTGGTGGCATGAAGCCAGTGTTGAAATGATGCAGAGTGCCTCACCCTGGCAGCAGGAAAGAGCTGTAAGGCCACAGCAAGTCATTTTTATGGATGACATCAGCGTGCACATTAATTTTAGCATGACTTAAAAAAAAAAATTATTGCCCTCTGACAGTGGTCAATGTGAAAATGGGAAAATATGTCTGTTGTCATGTTGGAACGTGGATGACAGATAAATGTGAAGAGAGGAGACAAGACAAGGCTCTGATGTAATGTTTTGTCTTTTACCTATTACTCTGTTGCAGTGTTGCATTTTTTCCCTTAGTATGTGATGTTGCCGCTGAATCAAAATAAATTCTTGTTTGACTGAGGTCCAAATTTGAAAATGTAGGAATCTTTTTGGCCCGTCTTGTGTTTTTTTTCCGCCCTATCGCATCAGATTTGGTGTCTGCGGAGGATGTCATCCATAAAGTTAACTTGCTGTCGCCTAAACTGGGAGCAGCTTACTCTTACCTGACCTCTGCCCTCCATCTGTTCCTAACAGAACTAGCTCCAAATTTGTCACCATCTTAAACATCTACGTGTTTCTAGAAGCGAACTATTTCCGTTAGCAGCAGTATACAGTACATGTATGTGGCTGAGTGATGTAGTGGAGGTGGAATGCACCACGCTTTGTTGAACCATCTGTGGTTTTTCCCTCTTTAGGAGGCGTGGCACTCCCCTTGGTGAGACCAGATGACTTACAGCAGAGGCTGAGGCCGACCCCCCAGCAGTCGGACAGACCACCCCCTCCCGAACCCACGCCGCCCGCCTTACCCCCCAGACGAGGGGAGGAGAAGAGAAGGGAGGAAAAGGAGAGAAGAAAAGAGGAGAAGATGGAGGAACAGGGTCCGGTCCCGCCGAAAAGGACAAAGAGCGGACCGGCATCGTCAAATGTACAACCTACGCCCCCGCCAACCGAGAACGTTTGGGTCAAGCCCTCTGATAGGTTAGTTTATAATACCATACTTTTCCCTTTATTGTGTTTAAATAGTGAACAGCCTTGAATCTCAACTTTTACATTGTTTATTTGAAGCACAAAATGCAGACAGTGTATTTTAAGACAGTGTTCTCAGACTCTGCAGTTAATACTCAAGGTTGGGAAACTGCCAGAACATAGAGCTAAATGGTGTGACTGTGTTTATTGAATTTCAGTCATGTTTTATTTATACTTAGCTACAGCGACTGTCTCAAAACTGTTTTTGGTTGGTGTGCAACATACTAGTACTCCTACAGCACCAAATTATGATTCTTACAAATTATTCATTGTCCTAAACTGCTTGCAGCAGATTGTTTGCCTGGCTCATCTGAGTTTGAACTTTAGATACATGTATGGCCTTTCAGTTCAAGTCATGACTAAAAAAGTTCTGCATGCCATACGTAATGCATGTTGCTTGATTGTTCAAGTAGACAACATTTCCAGACATTTCATGCTGTTAAAAAACTAGGTGTCTACTAAATGTGTCATAATGCCACCAACATTGTTTTATTATTGCACCATTAACCTTAAATAAATCACACCAACCCAAACACCACCCGTATCTTGAAGTGGTCTAGTCCACGCGCTGATGTTCTCTATCAGCGGGAATGTTCTAAGTGCCAGAAAGATGGGGGTGGTCAGGGTATCCACGACGGCACAGTAACCTGCATGCCTTTCACCCACAGCTTCAGTCTGTTTGAGAAGCTGGGGTTCAGGTCTTCCAAACGGAAAGACAAGGACTCCTCTTCCAAAGACAAAAGGGAAATCTTAAGAAGGGACTCCTCCCAGTCTAGGGGTAAGAAGGAGAAGGATTCTAAGGAAAGGGAAGCAGCTAAGGAGTCTAAATTCTCCTTAAGGTATCACACTGTTTGAGCAGCACATTTGGAGGAGGGAGTGTTACGTTGGTGGAGGGTTTTTAACACTGCCGGTGACGTGCACTCTAACCTGGACATTCCCACTATTAACATTCCAGCACGATCATTCCGCTGGTTTGTCAAGTGTTAAATGATGACAGCAAAGAGTCTGCATTATGCTGCAATATCTTCTAATGTTGGCGCCAACATCTGTACCATGTTGGGCTGCCATGACTGTGGATTACTTGCATTTTCCATGGTTCTTAACTGGATTGAGTGAAAGGCTGTCAGAACCTTGCTTGGTTACAGAATGCATAAAAGGCTGGAGTCTTGTATAAATAGATGATATTATGTAAACAAGAGCTTTTTCTAGATTCTGGACTTGGCAGAAAGCATTCTTGCACTGCAAGTGGGTTTGGGATGGAGAATGCCTGCTTGGTGTTCCTGTTATACTGTTAAATTTCCACAAAATGTTAGGCGTAGCTTAGTAACACATTGAAAGGAAGTACAAATGTAAATGTTGTATTTCTGTGGTGTTATTTCCAGCGTGGGAGTTCCTAAGAGACCAAGTGGTAGTAAGAAGAAAGGGCCGGCTCCTGAAGTGAAGAAGGACAGCCCAGCACCAGACAGGGCAGCTGTGGGGCCACCTCCTACTGAGAAATCTGCAGAGGAGAAGTAAGATAAAATACAGTACAGTAGTCCGACAGTCATAGTATATTATTAGAACTTAGACAATTCTTTGTGTAACAGTGTAAGATTATAGAAATTTCCATGGTGATTTTCTGTTGTTTTTTGTTCCGAAAATAATTTCATCAGGTTGGTAGATATTATAATAGGATTTTCTTGTATACAACCAGGTACTGTTCCTACCTTGCTTACGTTTCAGTGTCTATCAGACAGCTTCCTCAGAGCTTCTGACTGGAGTACTGCTTCTTGCCGCTATATGTAGCCGATGTAGGTGGCGCTTTAGTGACGAGAACACAATCCCAAACGTGGCGCTAAGTTTGTATCCTCCCTCATCCCGGTTCATCACTGGGGTCAACTTCCTTATCCAGACTGCTTCTTTATTCCACCGGATACGTCAGTGTGATCCTCCCTGTCAATGGGCTCCAGTCAGAGGCTCCGAAGCTGTCTGATAGACATTGAAACGTAAGCAAGGTAGGAACAACACCTGGTTGTGTAAAAGAAAATCTTAATAGCCTGTTGTTGTTTTTTTTGTTGCAGGCCTGCAGAGGAAGAGTCGTCAGAAGGGCGGCACAGTCAGCACAGCACGTCGTCCAAGGACTCCATCTCCACCTCCCCCACCATGCCACCCGCCATGCCCCTCCTACGCACAGCGACCTCCCCACCAACCTCCTCAGGGATCCCCTCTTACTTCAAGATGGCAGAGTCACCGGAGCGGTCCTCCAAAGGCTCCACCGACAGTCTGTCTACCCCGTCTTCCACAGCCTCGCCTGCTAGGGTAGAAAAAGGTAAGGCTCCCCCTACTGACTACTCCTGGAACTGCAGTCAGTCTGTCTACCCTGTCTTCCACAGCCTCGCCTGCTAGGGTAGAAAAAGGTAAGGCTCCCCCTACTGACTACTCCTGGAACTGCAGTCAGTCTGTCTACCCTGTCTTCCACAGCCTCCCCCGCTAGGGTAGAAAAAGGTAAGGCTCCCCCTACTGACTTCTCCTGGAACTGCAGTCACACAGGGTAATGACAAACGTATCACTAAATCATAAAACAAAACAGGAGGCATTAATGCTTAAGAGTTAGGGAACTCTGCATAGTGAAAATTATTTCAGGATAAGCCCTCAAGAAGAGATCAGAAACTAGGCAAAAATTTCCTCTGAATCAGCAGTTTTGGTACAAGTAATTAGATGCTAGTAAGTCACTGTATAAAAGGATAGCGATGTCTAATAATGATATATCTATGTTAGCGCAAATGTTAAACATAAGCGTCACATATATGCAAGATATAAAAGACTAGACTGAGTGCATTAATTTTCAGCATAATCATAATAAAGCCTAAACCATTAACATTACAAAATGTAACTATTTGACTAAATGTCATAACATGATTTTCACTTCAAATTCTGATTTGAAAATGAAAATGAAATGTTTCCTATGATCTACATTGTACATTCAATCAACAAATCAACAAATCAGATCCCTAACACATTAAGTCACAATCAACCCAAAAATTCAAATCCAGATCAAAATCACAGCTTTATAAAATTGTGTCGAATTTGATTGGCAATGCAGTTGTTGTGAAATTGTTGCATTTGTTGCTGAAGCTTTCGAAGCTGAGGTAGAGACTGAACAATCTGAGGCAGAGCAGGCAGATATAGAACAGTCTCCTGTAGGATCCTGCCAGAGCCTTTCTCAGTCTACAGACAGCTTGTCCAGCACTGTGCTTACTGCTTCTCAAGAAAACTTAGCACAGGGCCAAACTGAAGGTATGCTTTGCTGCTTGAAAAGTCCTGTGTGCCCTGAACAAGACTATTTATAATGAAATCAATCATGGCTTCAATGATGAAAAATGAAATAAACCTAGAGGTATAGTGATTTTAGTAACATGGATCACAGACCTATATTGCATTATACTTATAAGATTGACTGATGATCATGATGTCTTTAGTGAAATGTAAAATTTTCTAAAACTAAAAGTAAAAGTAAATTTTGTATAATACATTTGTACATGTATGTTTGAATATATTAAACAGCTGGTGACACTTTTTTCAGCTAAATCAAATGTATTTACCATAGACTATACTATTGCTAACCAATGAACTGAAATATACTGAATAATTGGTTTTAAAATTAAGAAAAAGTGTAAAAGTCTACAACAAATTTTGTTCCTTTCTTTTGAGGTTGTAGGTTTTGAGGTTGGTGTAGCTAGAGGAAGTATTTTTGAAGACGGAAATTTGATCCGTATTGGCACATTTTTTATGGTCGATTAGTCTAGGCCAGCAATATCTAGGCATGGAAATTTGTGTTACAGCATGAATATGTACAGTGGACAGATAGACTCTGGGTTTTCTTACACAAGGAATCAAAAACTGTTGGAGAAAGACTTAGTCTACATACTAGTAGCTTGAAGGTTCACGATTTGGTTCTTTTTCAAACCATGTTTCAGAACTTCATTGTTTTGTGTTTCCTAACTATATTTTTGATTCAGATTTTTGTAGCTTGTTTTACTTACATGTACACTAAAGGGTTGTTGTTGTTTGTTTGTTTTCACTACAGGTTCCCCCATACCTGGCTTCAGTCCCGGTCT